AGCACAAGGTGGATCTCAGCACAAGAAGCGAATTTCCCCCCAACTTAGTGGCAGCAAGAGGACAAGTTATCAACCACTGCTCCACGCACAGGGAAATAGCTTCTTGAGTAAATACACCCAGCACCACTAAAGAAGCCATTTGTCCTGTATGCGTATGTCCCATTCCCATAGACTCAGCATGTGTCAGAGTCCCAAACAGCCCGCAGGAGCCCAGCACACCCTGCTCATCCTGGGGTAGCACTGCAGCAGCCTACCAAACACAAACCAGTTCTGGAAGTGCAAACTGCTTTCCCACTGCCCAGCAAGCTACGGAGCCATGTGCACACATGGCACTAACACCCACGACAACCTGTTCCCCCTATGTGTTTGGCCAACTTTACAAGCTAGTGCAGAAAAGCCGTGCATACCCTTTGTGGTGGTTTGATGTCCTCACATGAGGGGGAGGGGGAAGATGTGTTCCCACTTCTTCCAATTCAGGCACAAAAACGACATCCATGAGAACTGTGATGTATTCCACACTAAGTGCTTCCTTCTTTGGCATACATCCTGGCTCTCAGTCTTTTAGAAAAAGAGACTGAGGACAAGATGTCCCTAAGTTATTTAAAAATAAAAACTAAGACTGATTTCTTGCCCAATCTCTGTTTTAATGCTACGTTCCAAGCACACTTATTTTAAAAATTTTTATTGTTACCACCTTGTCAAGGTTTGCAGTGTTCAGTTTCCTTGCTAAAGGTGCACTCTATGCTGTTCAGTATTAGGGAGAGTTTATCAGGGTTGTAATTTTACAAAACAGGGATTAACAGGCAGTTGAATCAGTCAGTGAACGTATATCTGGAGTCAGAAAATATCTTCTGAAAGTTAGAAGCCCAAAGGCTTTGGGTTTTTCTGTTTTGTTTTTATAAACTTAAAACACAACAGAGGATGCGTAACCCTTACTAGTCTTTCAGCTCATTTCAAGATCAACACAGACAAAAGCCTGTTCTTCTCAAGTTTAATGTCCACTCTCTGGAACTAACATTCTTCAGTGAAGGTTGAGACATACAGAGGAAGGAAGACTAGAACTAACCATTACCTTGTAGATATTTCTCAAATGGGATAATAGGATCAAACAGGAAGAGTTTAGTCATAGTAAAACATGAAAAGTATCTTGGAGATATAAAAGCAACCCAAACTGCAACCTGGCAAATGGCTAACACACCCTTTGGAGAGCAGGAGACTCAAGCTGAACAAGGCTTCCCATCTGCAATTAAAGAACATTTATCCAATTCAAATTTCATAAAAAGCCACAGCAGAAAAATTGGCAGTTTATCAGAAACCATTTTTTTTGCAAAAATGTGAGTAGAAAGTTCTCCCCAATGGTAATACATAATGAAGCAGGTCAGCACAGAAGCTAAACTCACCCTATGTGGCCAACCCAGGATTCATAATAGGTTTGAAGACAACAACTTCTCAACAACAATTATTGAAGGTAACTTGGTGTGTGCCATTACATCTGGTCTGCTCCATTAAAAGCAAGCTGTTGCTCTAGGTAATTATTTCCACTGTAAATTCAAACTGGAAATCAGGTTTCTACCTCTTCTCCAATTTGCACTGATGAAGGGAAGTTTGAAGTCTTTGGCTTCAGCTTGCTTGGTTATCAGCAGTTACGGTGAGAAGCTGCAGTGCTGTTGCCATACTCATAGTAGAGAAGTAGCAGCTTACACAGCTACATGACGTCAGCTACCACAGTTACTTCATACAGCCATTTCATGGTATGAAGCTGGTCTAGAGCACAAGTCTTCAGAGGAGCAGCAGAGGGGACTGGGGTTGTTCGGTCTGGGAGAAAGGAGGCTGAGGGGAGACCTTATTGATCTCTACAATTACCCAAAAGGAGGTTGTAGTGAGGCGGGGGTTGGTCTCTTCTCCCAAGTACGAAGTGACAGAACAAGAGGAAACGGCCTCACGTTGCACCAGAGGTGGTTTAGATTGTATATTAGCAAAACTTTCATCACCAAAAGGTTATCAAGCACTGGAACAGGCTACCCAGGGAAGTGGTTGAGTCACTGTCTCTGGAGGTATTTAAGAGATGTGTAGATATGGCACTTAGGGACATGGTTTAGTGGTGGACTTGACAGTGTTCAGTTTATGGTTGGCTTCAATGATCATAAGGCTCTTGTCCAACGTAAATTATTCTATGAATGCTTTCACTTTAGCTAGTCTAGCTTGATTCCTGTGAACAGATAAGCACCTCCAACTCAAGCTGGACAACTGAAGTGAGGACAGGTCTTTAATGACAAGAGCAGCTTAGCTTCCTCTATGCAGTATGACAGCAGACATTGCATGGGGAGAAGTGAGAATATTATGTTCCTATCTTAGAAAGCAGATAGGGAGAAAAGGGGTAGAAGAAAACTCCACCACTAACTGAAATACAGTAAAAATACTTTCCCAAAGAGCATAGTATCAAAGATGAAATGCTCCCCTGATTTTATGCAGTCATTTACCTCTACCTTTGACAAATGGAAACTGAATGAACTGGTAAAATTTAAAGGCAGCTGCTGCTTTCATTCCATTCTAAAGTTAAACCACGCCCACTCTATTTCACTCTTTAGTTGACTTAGTGACTCAGGCTGTAGCAGCCACTCAAAGCAACATGATGATGCTTGTCACCACTGCAAAGCACATGCCTGCCTCTATGTTTTCCAAGGCTAAGCTTCATCGCCTCAAACTGTAGGCTGTTTCCAAGACTTTCATCAGACCCAGTTTAAGTTATCTACTAGTCAACACACCAACGGCCCCCAAAAGACATTATCTTACACATATGCTACTACAAAAACACATTTGTCTTGATTAATTGGTCTACTGGATTCTTCAGGTCTTCCAAATACTTTTTGTAATTAACTATTATTTTCTCCTTTTCAAATATCACTCACATAAGGGTGACTCTCATCAAATGCCAGCTTGCTGTGTTGTAAAGCTAAAATAACGGTCTTTAACCTAGTTTGTTCTGAGCATGATTAGGCACATGTCTCACAAAATAACCTTTCCCAGTGGCATGAACACTGAAGTCTAGATCAACAACACTGAGTATAAAACCATCTGCCCAGCCAAGGACAAGCATGCAGTATTGCTCACTCTTACACGCCGACCAACACCCGGTACAGATGAAACTAGATTGAGGGCAGCTAAAGGATTCAGTCTGGAGACTCTAGGGTATCTGATGTTTCTGCACTGAGTAGCCATGAGGAAGAACAGGGCAGAAGGTACCACATGAAAAATAATAATAATATACCTGTATATAGCCGTACAGTATTTTCTATATTCCATGGCTTCAAACTTGTAATAAGCTACCAGGCAAAAGGCAAAAACCTGGCCATACTCATGCCACTGTTCATACATACAAATGAATACTATTTGCAAACTCACTACTTCAGGGACACACACACAGACAGCAAAAATTAACGCTGTTAGCAGGAACATCCTCTCTTTATTACAGAAATAATAGAACAGCACCTCTGATTTGTTTGGGCCCATACATGCTGAATTAGCTTTGAAATTCAAGTCAAAAGTATGTTTCAAAAAAATGGTTTGAATAGTTGCACATCAGAGACGCTGATGAGAGATAAATAATCCCTAGTGGCCTCCAACTGAAGGAATGTGAAAGGTTTCTCCCTCAAGCAGTTCATTATGAATACTAACGATGCTTTTCCTTTTCAGGTTCTTAGTAGCAGAACAGGTAACCTGAAGGAAACCATTTTGCTGCATTTCTGCAACACAATTCTTAAATACTGTGTTGGAGGGCTGTTTTCCACAATATGAAACCATCCATAACTCACTTGGCATTGACAGTGACATCACATTTGAATAATCTTTAGAGAGCCACAAAAGGCATGCACTTTGCAACAGTTTCATTTTTAAAAAGTATTTCTGAGTTTCAGAAAGGCCCAGGGAAATCCCTCTGGAAGGTGGACACATTGAACAGCACACTCCCAGCTACTGAACACAGGCACACTACCATATTTTTAACAGCTTCTGAGGAGAATGCTCTCTGCTGTAAGTTGAGACCGATTATGTGGAAGTCAGAAGTTGCACTACAATAAATCAGCACCGAAACTGCAGTCATAGCTCTTTAAAAACAAATATATAAACAGACTGACAATATCAAGAAAACTACACATGCTCTGATAAGCCACTGTTGACAGGTGGAGATTCTACCCAACCTCTTACTAACAAAGAGGAAATTAATGGATACAGGTCTCACTCATTCCCCTGGAATTACCTCTTGTAGTCAAGTCTCAGTGAATTGTCACGTCTCCCAGCAGTTACAAGGGTCTGGGCCTTTCTACAAGTAATACCCTGAACTTAGGCTCCCATCTCCCCCAGAAAATAAACATAATTGCAACTCCTGCTTCTTTCAATGCTTACAGGCTACCTGCTGTATTCTACATTATAACTACATGTATATATTGAACACATACAGATGCAGCTTAAGGTCTGAAATGCCTATTCAAAGAAACCACAGTCTACAACTGACTTAGGAAAGAAAGACATGGAATCAAAGCCTTTTTCTTTTCTTACTATTATTTCCCAGTCCTGAACACTATTTGCATATGAAATTAAACCAAGATCAAAAACAAAATCACACATAACAAAAAGATTGAAAGCATTATTGGAAGTGACTTGTTAACACTGAAAGCCTATAGATAATGCATCTCAGCAAGTTCAGCTATTATTTGGTCAACTTCTCTCATCTGGCTTAATGGAACTTGGTGGATAGCCAAACGAGGGCAGCCTTTCAACATCATGAGTCAAGCAAGTATTCCAGTATAAAAGAGCAAAACATTTCAGCAGAACAGGACATTTCAGCAAAGCATACACCTCTTCACACAAATACAAGCGCTGTAGGAAGCAGTAATGACCTTTATAGAGGTTACTTTGAAATCTGTTTCAGAACTTTTCTACCAATGCCCTCAAGACAAAACATGAAAATACTTCCAAAAAAAAAAAAAAAAATGAAATCTTACGGCTTGAAATGCAGTAAGCCAGCCTGCAGTTGATCCTCCTGAACAGTTGCTTGTTGATTGGCCAAAGTACAAGTGTAAAGAGTTGAATGAAGTTAATGATCAGTCCTGACGCTATAAATATGTAGCAGATCAGAAGGTGGCAAATGAATTGAGACTTCAGAAAGCCAACGATGTCCATGATTTGCTGAGAAAGCACGAGGGTACCTTCAGACCCAAAATTCAGAAGACAACCTGCAAAACGAAATAGCATCAGCGGTTACTGAGTGCATTTATTTCTATGAACAGATTGTTAATACAATCTTCCTGTTTTACACTTAAACACACTAAATACACTAACACAAAAGTTAGTTCTATTGTAGCAAAAGGTCTGATGACAATATTTGCAAAAATAAGCATGGGAAGAGAATATCATATTTCTGAATCAATGTACATTTAGTTTTGGAAACAAATTTTCACATTTCAGTCCTAATTCTGCAAAACCCATGAGCACATGACTCCATTCCATGGACTACAATACTGCTCTATCAGGTCTTCACTGATAAAATACAAGCAAAATAATCCACTTAAATTTTTAATTGATTTGTCTGTACCTCATAAGACATACACTGTGATCTCTGCTGTCTCCAAGAGCAGCTCCAAAGTAAACACTTTGAGTTTTATGTTAGAAGTTGTGCATTCCTCTATATGGCTATGCCAGCCATGCTCCCCAACCAAGAGGCAGCAGCCCCTTAATTCTAGCTTTATTGGCTTGTTCCCTCGTCACATTCAAACATTAGTTGATTTCAGCAAGAGAATAAAAGCTTGACTATGCACAATACATGCAATTTGTTCAATTATTCCTTGACACTGTAACTGTGTCAGTTATGCTCCATAAGCCCAGAAAGGAAACATCAATAACAGTACTAACCTATGACCCAGCAGCATCTCCAGAAAAATCAACTCTTAGGTTACTTAAGAAACGTTTGTATAACGCTGGAAAGGACCAGTCCAGCCTTAGCACCTGAGCATTCGGAGGACCTGTCCTCTGCCAAGTATGCTGGCCTACACAGAGCACGTTGACTGCCCCCCACCATCACTGCCACCACTGCTAGTCTGATTTGTTAGGAGACAATATACAAAGACATGATCTCTCAGTAAACAACAGCCCAGTATTTTCAAGACAGTTAATCAGGAGGGGCTGCCATCCTGTTCCATTTCTACACTGTTTCTCCCTCCGAGGCGTAGCAGAGCTTGCCCAGGGAAGAAGCCCTGAGACAGTCTTTCTGAATGTGCCAGTCATAGGCAATAACAAGACAGCAGCTGTCAGCATCAACTAATGAAAAAAAACTTTATGCCTATTCTTGTAGTTTATATGAGACCCCATTATGTGAGGTACTGAGTCTAGATCAGTGTTCTGGAACATTTGTTTCACTGCCCTTGCTGACTATGCTTACCACAGCAAAGAGCACACACAAGAACTGCTGCAAAGCGATAGGAAGTTACTTTGACAGGTTTTCAACTGCAAAGGAGATGAAGAAAAATTTAAGAAAGAGAGTCTGTATTGTTGTATAATTTATATAAAGAGATTATGGCAGTCCCAAGCCTATTATCAGCAGATAAAACGTGCCTTTTGTGTATCACAGACTTCGTTCCCTTTATTTCGCTGTATTATTCAGTACCAAAGCAGACACCATCTGTGACTCTGAATGGCAGAACAGGCCTCTGTTCATTGTAGTAACTACTGTCACGACACTTGCAAAAACCTTTTCCAGCTTTAAATAGGCATTCTATTCAAGACACATTTCTGAGGGTGACAGACAATTTATTAGCATGGGCTTTGACCAAAGGCTTTGTTTCTGTTGAAGGCTAAGCAGAATGAGAAATGCTGTCCAGTAGGAACCATTGCAGTGCTTCACGCCCCAGCCCCTCCACTGCACTCTCTGAAGACTCAGCCAAATACTTAAAAAAAAAAAAGGCAGCAAACCCAAGTTTGCAATAAGTTTACAGCGAAAGACACAAGATTTCACTTCCCTAATGCAGACTACTGTGCTCCATCAAGTAGCAGATCCCTTCTTTAAAACAGTCAGAATGCGAGCAACCAGTTACTTACAAGCGGGTGGTTAAAAAGCCTCTGCAGTGCCCGAAACCCTGGCGACTGGCTTTATCCCACCGTCCTTGGGTAAAAGTGATCAAAAGGTTTCTGTGCTAGCTGGCCTGTTTAACTCCATCCCGCAGAATCACTCTCATCTAATGGAAGAGACCGGATAAAAAACAACACTTACATAAAATAAGATTAAAGCACTCTCTACTTACAGTGGAGACCTGAAAAGTCGCTGTTTGATACAATCCACAGAAATCTACGGTAGTGAGTAGCTGACAGACAGATGTTGTGACAAGGAGGAACTCACCACGTTAGCCCAACAATTTATTTTTTTCTTCCACTGCCATAGCAGTCACACTCTATTGAAATGTTCTGTTTATGTGAATCATTTACCTCACACCGCGTCTTTAAAACAAAACTTCACAGAATTAAAAACAAAAAAAAGGTGAGGCGACCCTGATAAAACATAGTTACTGTCTTACAGCTTTATGAAGCCAAAATGGAATGTTTGAAAGTAATTTATTCCTCGCTTTCACACCTCAGTCACCAAATTTCAATTCTGTAAAGCTCCTGAGACATGTTGTAAAGGCAAACTGAACCTACTTAAGCAGCACCACCTAAATGCATCTCACCTAACCTGAGTGTACAAGGAACACGAAACCAGAGCCACTGCTTAAATTTTGCTTTTCTGAAAAGTAAGGAGACCGGACAGATTAATTTTCTCTTCTGGCTAAATGCAAGCTGCTTTCCTTATAAAATTTGCAACCCAAACATTGTATACAGAGTGCTAGTTAAATGTTCTCAGGCATAAGCTCATTCTTGTAAGATTTTTTGAACAGGATACTTTTTGGACTGTTTTCCTTACCCAAACTCCAAGAACTGCAGTTTATTCTTGGTACAAGCAACAACAACAAAAAAAAGAAATTTATTTTCAAGAATCAATTCTGAGCTCATGGAAGAGGTCTAGATGCTTGATTTTTAAGAGTTCATAGGAACTTCTTCCACTTGCTTTTTGTCTTATGGAAATTCCTCATGGGTAACATCAACGTAACACCAGTTTCAGTGATAAAAGAATCAGGTCTTTAATTCTTAATCTATGATACTGGTTTAATAAATTACTCAGATTTCCTTATAGAGAATGACTGAAAACTACAGCAATCTTTTGAAAACACAGGGGCCAATCAATGCATTTTCTCAGAAGCTATTAAGATCAGAGAGCTGCCAAGAAGCTCTCTTCTATCAAACACTCCTTAAAACAAATCAGGAGAAAGAGGCCAGCCAGAGCATCAAAAACAGACAGCGACACTATTTAATAACAGCTTTCCTTTGGATATAAAAGACTCAAACCTCAAATGTCTGTCTAGGGAGCAAGTCAACAAACATCCATTCACGTGACTAAGAGATCACAGGATCAGGTTTAAAACCAAACTCCATGACTATTCACTCCACCTCTTTTCCCCCCCATGCTTCATTCTTCATCAAGATCCACTGTGTTTTCTGCTTCAACTACTCATAGCATTTCCTTATGCTTAGAATAACTGACCAGGAGGACACAGAAGTGATAAGCAAGGTGAACACCTCTGTTCCAGCAGAGGCTGCTGTCAATTAACAATGCTATTTCACACTTCAAAGTCTGTAAGAGTTTTGAGGCTACAACTGCTGATCTTGTAAAGGACACAACTGTTTGCACTTCTACAGAAAGCACAAGAATGAAGCAAAGAACTGTCACCCACTTTCTCCAAAGTTTATGTAGTAAATAGAGTCCTCGGAGTGTGGAAAGCAACGTGGTACCTATCTGATACCATCTAGACAAAGTTAATATTATACATATTTACGAAGAGTGGCAAGACAGCACTATACCCAGTTATACTATACTAAACATAGTATATACATAGAATGTGTATTTAGTACTCTGTATAGTGTATGTATAGTGTATATATAGTATATATTCACTATATTCTCAAAATATGTATACTATATTTTCAGAACAGCATGTTTCAAGCCTGTGCAGAGGTTTTCACTTATGTCTGCTCTTTGATAAAGTCCTTAAATGCTTTGCTGTAAGTTCAGAACAACCAAGCATACAATGATGATGTTCATTCTTGCATTTTCTCACCTAAACCAGATTCTTGGATGGATGAATTAGAGACCAAGACCATGAAAATATGCTCAGGTCACATTACAGTAGTTCCAGTAGTGCCTCTAAGTGAATTTCAGTTGCCATCAGAACAGCACAGATGGCAGCACTGTATTTAACTTCAGAGTCCATTTTAACAATGCTTTTGTGTATAAAATACATGTGCAAGGCAAGTCATGGAAGCCTTTGTGCTCTTCTCTTTCTGCCAGTGAGCGTCAAAAGTTAGCAGAAGTGAGGCTGTGTCCATGAATGTATTCGCCTTCAGGGAAAATATATCTCTACATGCCACACAAAAAAAAAAACCCAAGTCTGAAGCAAGAATTGTCCATCTATTTGCCTCATGTTTAATTAGGGTTTGAATTACTTCCTACATCCCCCAAAGGCAACTACTCAAGCATTACCTCCTGCATTAGGTTTACACAGCAATTTTTTGGTAGCGGGGGCTGCAGGGATGGCTTCTGTGAGAAGACACCAGGAGCTGCTCCCCACATCAGACAGAGCCAGTTCCAGCCAGCTCCAGAAGGGACTCGTCACTAGCAAAAGCTGAAGCCATCAGCGATGCTGGCGGCACCTCTGTGATAACATATTTAAGAAAGGGTGAAAAATGCTGCACAGCAGCTGTGGGTGAGGAGTGAGAAAAATGTAAGAGAAACAGCCCTTCAGACACCAAGGTCAGCGAAGAAGGAGGGGGAGATACTCCTGGCACTGGAGCAGAGATTCTCCCACTGCCTGTGGTGAAGAACATGGTGCAGCAGGTTGTCCTACCACAGCCCACGGAGGGCATGGTGGAGCGGATATCCACCTGAAGCCCATGGAGGACCCCATGATGCAGCAGGTGCCCTGAAGGAAGCTGCAGCCCATGGAGGGGAGCCCACTCAGTAGCAGGTTTTCTGGCAGGAACTGCAGCCCATTGGAGACCCACACTGGAGCGGTCTGTTCCTGAAGGACCATACCCTGTGGGA